TGGGAACTATGGCACACATGAGGGTCAGGGCATGTGTGTGTGGGGAGAGGGGGGGTCGGCTAAGATAGGCATGGCTTTCACGTGGCCGCTGCAACCAGTCCATCAACAGCTGCTTCTAAGGGATGAAAAGTGAGATGGGGCAGGTCCTGGTTGCCCTGCCCAGAGCCTTTTCCAGTAATCTCCGTATTTTTGTACTGTGAAATAGACAACACAGCATATGCAAACACATCTAGAACACACAGCAATTCTACTTCTGAGAATGGAAAGATGCCTCTACCTGCTTTTATTATTCTCAGTTTAAAAGAAACCCTTGAACATGGCTCCCTTTGAAGCAATGAATCCTATTTTAAATGAAGCATCATAGACTAGATATATGGGAATGCTATGGATCAAATGTGTCCCCCCAAATTCATGTGTTGGAAACTTGACCTCCATTGGAACAGTGTTAAGAGGGTGGGAAATCCTATTATGGTATATGATGGGTGGGGCCTTTAAAAGGTAATTAGACTGAGGACTGTGCCCTTGTGAATGGACTGATCCATTCATGGAGTAATGGGTGTGGTTCTGATGGCTTTATAAGAATGAGCAGTTTAGCTCTCTTTTGCTCAGCCCATTCTCACCATGTGATTCCCTGGTTGCCAAAGGACCCTGTAGAGGGTTCCCACTAAGCAGGTCCTCACCAGATGCATTCCCTGGACTGTGGACTTTCCAACCTCTGAACTACAAGATATAAATTTCATTTCTTTATAAATTACTCAGTTTCAGGTATTCCGTTATAAGCAAAAGAAACAGACTAACGGAGTATGTTGTCCTTTCCATCCTGAACCTCCTTCCCATCCAGTCTCTCGTTTTTTTGAATGCACATTTAGTGAGCAGCTTCTACTCTTGCCTGCCTCAAGAATGAGAAGTTGGATGGATGGTCTTGCCTTTAAGGAGCTCCAGGTTTAGTAGGAGGCAGGGCAGCAGGCACAGGCGAATAAACAGACAAATACGAACAGACAAATACATAAGAGGGCTCAGGCTTGGTGCAGTGATGGCGAAGAGAACTGGCGCTGAGGGGCATGGAGCAAGGGAGCAGGTGGCCAAGAGGGAGGGCAGAGAAGGTGTTTTCGTGCTAGAGGAGGCGCCCCAGAGCTGCAAAATACATAAGAGGGCTCAGGCTTGGTGCAGTGATGGGGAAGAGAACTGGCGCTGAGGGGCATGGAGCAAGGGAGCGGGTGGCCAAGAGGGAGGGCAGAGAAGGTGTTTTCGTGCTAGAGGAGGCGCCCCAGAGCTGCAGTGCAACCTGCTTCTGCAGCAGAGGAATCAGTGTTGGTGGAGCAGACAGGCTCAGTCCTTGCAGAGGGTCAGGCATATGCTGAGGTTCTGTCAGTGCCTCTGGACTGAAGGCTGGAGGGAGGAGCACGCTGATGAGGCTGAGAGAAGAATGTGGGCCTGGTCCTCAGGATAAGAGGGAGCCACTGAGGATGCCCAGGCCTGGGAGGGATGGGTGGGCTTGCATTTCAGAAGGAGCACTTTGGTAGGAGGGTGGGAGGATGCATTTGACAGGAGTAAGGAGAGGTGGAGGATCATTTAGGAGAGTATTGGTGGGGATAGAGAGAAGGGCATGGATGTGGGCAATGCTGGGGGAGCAGATCTTCAGGACTTGGTGACCTGGGCGTGGGGAGGCCAATCCTGCTACACCCTGGAGCCAGAATTTGTTCGCTCTGACAGGCGGCTTCCTTCAGTCCTTAGCACCATCTCTCCATGGCAGCTGAGTGTCATTTGCAAAACCCATCCAAATCCCTGATCATCACAGGAACTCTTTTCAGATTCCCACCCTCACATACTCAGGCGCCTCACTATCCCTACCCGCAGATCTGATGCTGTGCACGTGATATATCCACCATTGGAAAAACACTGCATTTTCTCCCAGAGAAAATGCTAAAAATAAATAAATAAATCCAGAAATGGCTTTCAAAGTGCTGTTAGCTGGCTATAACATAATGGAATGTTAGAGTGAGAGAAAACAGTGTTCCCTGCGATAGCTGTCGGCAGTGCTTTTCTTGCAGTTTAAAACATTTTGTGATGGATTGTAAATATCTCTCCCACACCTCCCCAGCACCCATTCCCAACTTCTCTATCAGAATCAGGCCTCGTTAATGCCAAATGACTCGGAAGCCGGCTAGATGAGATTGCTACTTGATTTGCACAGATGTGTGTTAACATTGCTAAAAAGAAAAAGGTGCAGGTAAGTCGGACCAGAATGTGCCATCGTTGAAAATAACATGTGCCTGAATCCAAATGGGACTGCTACGTGGAAGAAGGATCACTTCACTTTGCGCAGTTCTAGAGGTCAGGTTAAGTCCCAACATCCCGACAGACAGAAGTTGGGGGAGCCAGGCTTGAACTTAGAATTTTCGAA